AATGTTGCTTGACTGTGTAATGAAAAGATCATCAACAAACAATAAAAAGAGACTGGCAGAGAGTTCAGGCCTTCCAGGGAATTACTCAAATTCAGACAGTCACCTACACAGCGCTCAGAGACAGCCTCAAAACGGAGGAAGACCGTGCCGTGGACCAGGAAATCAGTGAGTAGCACCACTATTATGTGCCTGAATAGAAGCAACGCCGTCTCAGGCACTAGCCATGTAAGAGAATGACCTCTGCACTCTCAGGGGCTCTCAGACAGGAGTTGACACCTGAACGGCTTCATGCGTAAGGCAGCCACGACAAGCAAGCTGAATAACTGACCCAACAGCAGGGAAGTGTCTCTGCCAAGGAGTGAGCTGATAGCTAGCACTCTGATCTGAACAAATCAGATCGTATCTGAAGTTCCAAATTTCAAAGGACTAACTAGAGCTGTTTGTCCTGAAGAAGGAGGAAAAACATAGCGGATGCTTAAGAACTGTCTTCCTAAACCAACAGGCTGATGTGTGGAAAAGGAAGCACATTTATTCCTTGTTAGATAAAAGAAGTGTATTACAGATGAGCATTCTCACAAGGAAAATTTTACAACAAAGCTGTTACAAAAATAGACCACCTCCTCATCACAGCAAGTTTTCAAACAGACGCCGGCTGACTCTCTGACACAAGGGTGTTGAGAAGCATTTCCTACACTAGGAAAAGCTCAAGGACCAGGTATGGGGAGTCTGGAGCACATGATCTTCCAGAAACTTATTAGTGTGAATAATCTCCTTTGTGAAATGTGCATCATTAAGGGACAGATTCTTGCTGAGGCTGAACAGACTATCTTTAGAAACTAGCCAAGTGCAATAATGCAGTAAGAGTGTTACCTTGACAGCAGATGAGACAAAACTACTTCCGTGGATTTTAGGAATCGGGGAACCTGTCCCCTGGGAGGCCTGGGAAGCAGTGGAGAGCTTGCTTGTAGGACTTCCTGATAAGCAAGGCAGATTTAAAAATAAAGCATCAACTAAGTGAAACTTACAAAGTGGAATTTTAAAGCATTTTCTTCCACCCGCCCCTCTTTTTCATTATTTATTTTCTATTTTTAAGAGCTGGAAACTCATACTCCTGACACCATTATGTCCTTACATGTAGAAAAACAAGTAAAGGTACGTGGACGTTATATACGCGACTCCTTATAGAAGAGACACTGGAACGTAAGAACATCAGTTGTTTAACAAACGTGCCAGAACATACGCGTTCTCGTGAATGCTAGTCGTTTCGATGGGAGGTTATACCTACTCCAAAAAGTTCCCAACACTCACAACCTGATTCCTCCCCTACTCCATTCACCAAACTTGCCTCCAAAGACCTTTGGCTGATTCCAACAATTAAACAAACATCTTACAGGACACCTACTTGGCGACCCCTGAGTACACTCAAAAGGTTATTAAGTAAGCTCTGAAAGCAGTACTTTCTAAAGAAGTCCCACAATTACACCCTGTGAAAGTGCACAGCTTCTCTGCTTTGGAAAACTGCTATTTGGAAAGGCCCAACATTCATCTATTGTTGGTAAAGAATACTGAATATACCACGGACTACCAAAAGAACAAACAAATCTGTCTTGGCAGAAATACAGCCAGAACGCTCCTTGGAAGCAAGGACGGCAAGACTTCATCTCACATACTTTGGACGTGTTATCAGGAGGGACCAGTCCCTGGAGAAGGACGTCATGCTTGGTAAGGTAGAGGGTCAGCAAAAAACAGGAAGACCCTCAATGAGGTGGATTGACACAGTGGCTCTAACAATGGGCTCAAACATAACAACGATCATGAGGATGGCGCAGGACCGGGCAGTGTTTTGTTCTGTTGTACACAGAGGTGCTGTGAGTTGGAACCAACTCAACGGCACCTAACAATATTTATCCGTGGTGTTAAATCCAATACCTTAAAAAAATCAGTCTCATTACCTTACAGTCATCCCTCTGTTTTCATTTATCTTTTCACTCTTTCTCTTAATCAGAAGGGATAGTTACAGGGAAGTTTACACTTAGGAGCACAGATTCAAACACACAGGTCGATCAAAAGGAATCAGTAAAATGATGTTAGTGAGGCACTTCAGGAAGAACCCGAAAGCACCGCGTAGCTGTGTAGGATGACGGCAAACACAGGGACCCAAAGCGCTACTCTTCTCCTCTGAAGTTCTCTTTTCCTAACTGTAGGTTTCAATTTCTCTCTCACAGACATTTGTCTTATTCACAGAAAAGTGAAGACCACTTTTTTATTTGACTTGGTAGAAACGTGTATGGCGTGCAAAGCTATTCTTGTACTAAAAGCTTAATCTGGAAAAGTTAATAACCACATCGTTTGCAGGCTCCAAAAGAATAAGTCTTCCAAATGAAAATATTACCAACTAGAAAATAATTTCTAATTATTAGAAAATTAATAATGGTTTACTTTTAATCCTTGGAAATGAAAAAGAAAACTGAAGGAAATTAACTGTTATAAACAGTAAATCGTCCTTCAAAGAAATAGAATTGGGGTTACTTTTCTAACATTTACCTTGTTTATGGATGGGGAGTCTATTCTTTCATTACATGGCTACTAAGTCATGTATAAAGGACTTAATCTTTAATACGGGATCAGACCTTCTGGAGAACACAAATATTGATCAAATACACACCTGTACTGGGAGTGGTGGCACCAATAACCTGCCCGGGCTTGTCCATGATAACATAAGGATTACTAATAACGGAGCCAGCAGTGCCCTGCTTCACATGGACTGGAGTAGAAGTTGGGGTTCGAGGCAATGGTGATGGACTTGGAGTTGATATTGGGGAACCTTTATTAATTAAAAGAGAGAGGAGAAAGAAAATACATATCTTCAGCCCATCTAAGAAGATGTTGAAGAAAAAAGAGGGGCAGGGTGGCCGGAACATCGGCGACAAACTGGAGAAGAGAGTGGGCCAGTCTGCCTCAGGTAGGAAGCGGCAACAGCAGCAGCGCAGCAGAGGCTGCAGAGGCCGTGGATTAGCTCGTTTCACCCTCTACCTCCTCCTCTGTGGACGGGCAGCAGCAGGGGGCTTTTTATAAGCAGATTTTCAGGTCCCACTCCAGACCTACTGAGTATATATCTGCATTCTAACGAGATCTCCTGGTGATTTGAATGCGCACCACACAGCAGGGGAACTGCTCAATCCTGAAGTGAATGCATGCGGCTCTTGTCCTCAGAGGCAGGTTGTTACAATACTGGGTACCTTCTGCTGTCAGGCTGATTCCAACACACAGCAACCCGACAGGACAGGGTAGAACTGCCCCACAAGGTTTCCAAGGCTGTCGCCTTTATAGAAGCAGACTGCCACATCTTTCTCCCGCAGAGATGCTGGGTGGGTTCAAACCACCAACCTTTTGATTAGCCACAGAGCCCTTAACCACTGCACCACCAAGGCTCCTTTATAATCAGGGCTTCGAGCTGGTTCGTTCCGGTTCAACCCCCTGCTGAGAATTTGCCTTTCCACCCACAGGTATATTGCAACAGAATCTACATTTTACCAAGGTCTCCAGGGGATTCTCATGTACACATGTAGATGGTAAAATGTAGATTCTGACATAAGAATCCCCTGGGGAATCTTGGTAAAATGTAGATTTTGACGTAAGAATCACCTGGGAATCTTGTTAAAATGTACATTCTGATTCAGCGTATCCGGGGTGGAAAGACAAATTCTCAGCAGGGGGTCGAACTGGAACGAACCAGTTCGAAGCCCTGCTTATAATATGGGGTACACACTAAAATTCGGGAGGGAATTAGTAAGTGAACAGCTGGACTTAGGAACCAGGTGTCCTGATTTACAACTAATTTCCAATAGGAAAATGTGAAATTCACCTACCCAGGACAGAAAGTCTCAGTCAATATTGTATCACAGACAAGATCCAGAGAGATCAGAGTTCCTACAGAATACTCTCAAAGGTTAATTACGTACTGCTAAACATTTTCTAAACTTCAATTTATATGTCCAGCTATTCCATCTCTGAAGCAGCAAGTTCCAGAATGTTTCTAACTGGTAGGTAAAAGTATACATTCTTGTACCTATCCTAAATTAAAGTTTTCTCAGCTTTAGGAGAGACATTCTTGATACTTCCTGGTTTTGGTAAGTCCGTGTTTATTCTAAAACTTGTCATCAATTTCAATGACTTGGAATACATTTCTGCTTAGCTGTCCGATTTTAGCAACTTCATTTATTGTGGTTTAGAAGCCCTCTCGCTGCCTGGATATTTTCAATTACTCCTTTCATGTGTTCTCTGAGCTGGTACAGCCCAGACCATTAAGTATACTTTGATGAAGATTTTCCTACTAGAAGTTCATTTCGCATAAATGTGGCAAAGAACTATCCAACTTCACAATCACCAAGGAATCATATGTTCTAGTGTGGTCAGATCAGAGACTAAAGATAACTGAACTCCAAACCAGCTCCAACCCTTGAAGCTTAACTTCGAACCAAAAGGTCTCTAAATTTTTCCTATTAGTAACCATTCCAGTTTCCACGTGGAATAGCCCAAAACTCGATTCCTACTTTAGTTTCCACCAGCTACCCTAGCAAAGGTTTCACCTATGCTATTCACAGACAAAATGAGGGAGAGGAGGGGTTAAAAATCTGAACATCTTTAATTTCTTCCCACATTCAATAACTGTTTCCATATGAATGACTCTGCCCCCAAGTAAAAGCTATCAAGAGTGATTAGCTCTCTTCTAACAAAAACCTTGCCTAGAACTTAAAAAAAAAAAGTCAAAGTGCTTTGTTCTGTTAATTCCTGCAATATTTGGATCCAGTCAACTTTACACACATCATCTTAAACACAGCTTCTGTATACCTGAGACAATCTTGCAGCTCATGGTGATGGGCTGGAAGGACTTTCCAGGTGACTCAGGATTAGGAGCCTGACTTTGTGGGACAATTTTGCAGCTGGATGCTATTGGCTGGAAAGCCGAATTGCCATGAGAACAAAAGGTAACTTTCTGGGATGTTATTTTCGTGGGTGTTCGTTCCAAGGAAGATGGCAAAGAATAAAATGTAGTGTGTCTCTCGGCTTCAGTGTTGGTTGGGAATCCTGATTGAAATGAAACAGGCAAATGATGAGTCATGGGTCACTTTTAAATAATAAAACCTTACGACTGTGAAAAAAGAATGAAACAATGCAAATCCCTTATCATTTCAGCACCCATTTAACCATTTATCAACAGTGAAACAAACGTGATCAACAGGATTTCTTAGTGCACCTTTACACAGTTCTGGGGTGGGGGAGTAAACGGCATGCCCCTTAGCACACCTTTACACAGTTCTGGGGGGAAGTAAACAGCATGCCCCTTAGCACACCTTTACACAGTTCTGGGGGGAAGTAAACGGCATGCCCCTTAGCGCACCTTTACACAGTTCTGGGGGGAAGTAAATGGCATGCCCCTTAGCGCACCTTTACACAGTTCTGGGGGGAAGTAAACGGTATGCCCCTTAGTGCACCTTTACACAGTTCTGGGGTGGGGGAGTAAACGGTATGCCCCTTAGCGCACCTTTACACAGTTCTGGGGGGAAGTAAACGGCATGCCCAGAGGGACATTTAACTAAAATTTTGATTACAATTACAAAACACATCAACTATAAACCATATATGATACAAAACACACCAATTAATTACGTTCTCCCATTTTTTACTTATGAATTGAAAACTGTTTAAATTGGAGAAAGCCGAAAACTCAAAAGTAGGTATCTAATCTCATTATGTTGGATCTTATTAAATGCCCATAAAAAGATGCAAGTGAAATCTAAAGAGGAATAAAGCTGAGCTTTCATAGAAGAACTAATGTATTAACATTACATTAAAATATGGGCTTAGAGACAAAACTAACACCCTTTAGAATCAATTTTATATCTCACATATGTATATCCTTAAATACTTATATACTTATGTACATACAAAATGGAAAAATGCATGGTAAAAAGGTATTTTTGTTATGATGACTGTTGCATTGTATTTAAAAAGATTAGATGCTTAATTTTAAAGTTTCCTGCTCACCTAATCAAGGGCCAAGCCAGAAAGTCTTCTCCCAATATATAAGAAGAAACCATTATAACTACCAAAGAATAAAAATCCAATGCTTTTTAGTGACTTTTGCATTCTATAAATATTGGTAGAACTTTATGAAAAATCATTCTTCTGAGGAGAATAGGGATGTGGCTATTTTCATAACAGAACTCTGTAGAGTAGTCCCTCCTTATCCGCGGGGGATACGTTTCAAGACCTGCGCCCCTGGGGATGCCTGAAACCACGGATAGTATCGAACCCTATATATACTATGTTTTTTCCTATACATACATACCTTTCCACTTAAAGGAAGCACCTTACGGTTTCTCTTTGGTATATTCAAACTGCCAGCATCACTACTCTTGGGCTTTGGGGCCTTTACTAAGTAAAGTAAGGGTTACCTGAACACAAGCACTTAGATACGGCGACAGTGGATCTCATAACTGAGACGCGTACTGAGTGACTAACGGGCAGGACGGTAGCGCATTCAGCGTGGATACGCCGGACACGGGGGTCAGCGCGCAATACAGCGCCTGGTGGATTCGAACCGCCAACCTGTTGGTTGGCAGCCATAGCTCTTCACCACTACGCCACCAGGGTTTCCATAAAACTTATAAATTGTTTATTTTGGACTGTGGTTGACTGCAAGTAACTGAAACTGCAGGTAGCTGGGGGGGCTACTCCAGTAGAAGCAGCCTGCCTGTCTCTGGAAAAATTGTTTTCCATACACTCAGCCTCTGAAATCAGCCGTTCAGAATCATATTATGCAAACAAGCAAGGAATGCCCCAGAATGGCTTCATACAAGAGAAGATGCTACATTACCTTTCTCCACAGAGGTATCAGGGACTGGCTCATGTGACTGCCTAATCGGTGAGGAGGCTTTCACTGGGGCTGGAATGGTTAAAGGCGAAGACGGAGGGGCATCAGAGCCGTCCGATTCAGAGCACTGAGGGTGAACGCAGTCCTCTCCGAGAGAATGCCGATGGAGCTCAACATCCACCACCTACACAGCCGGGCAACAAGCCGGGCTCGTGAGCCCACCATCAATGAACGTCAGAAAGCCCAAATCCTGTCCCAGGATGGGATGCTCTTCCGATCTTCTTCAAGGCACTTAGCTGTACCCGAGATTATCTGATTTGCTCTTGTGTTTACTGTCTGCCTTCCCCCATCCTCAACACAACCATCACTCCATGAGGGCAGCAGTCTGCCCTGTTAACTTCTGTATCCCCAGCACCTGGGTCAGTACTCCAGCATACAGCAGGTGCTCAATAAACATTTTCTGCTACAACACAGCACATTTCCCTAGGCAGAGCCATCTCTAACCAGCTGACTGAGGACTGGTTATAATGGCCACTGCTGATATGACATCATGAAAAAAAAAAAAAAGGAGGGGGAGATCAATTATTTTTCAAATCTAGCGCTCATTTATTTTTTCTAATTAAAAATGAAGATCAATTCTCATTCTATTTCTTCCCAAATAACACTGCAGGAGGAAACCTACCGTCTCTGCTCCAAGAGTCTGCAAGCCGGTGTAAGTTCTATCCAGCTGTTGAAAGAGAAGAAAAGACCGTTACGTCCCATTGTGCTTACGCGTACATCTCAGGACACATCATGTCTAAAACTCCTTTCACTACACAGCTTCACACCACAGGATCTACTTTCATTGTAATGTAAACTATAAATTTATCACTTCCATAAAAACTCTCTTAATTTTCTGGGGAAAAAACTGAATAAAAAGAATAACAATAATAATAACAGTAACAATCTCAGATATACAGGTAATTGTATATATATATATTTAGCCAGGCCCATCTTTTGAGGCACCTCTAGGTGGGTTCGAACTGCCAACCTTTTGGCTAGTAGTCAAATGCAGAACAGATTTTTTGTACCAAGTCTCCAAAGTGTATTTTACACTCACAACACATCTCAACTCGATCTAGCCACACTTCAAGGGCTCAACAGCCACGTGTGGCAAGCCACTGCCATACTGGACAGTACAGCTCTAGAGTGTGTGACCAGTGCTTCTGTTCGCCAGATCTTTTTTTTTTTAAATGTGCTTTAGGTGAAGGTTTACAAGACCAAATTAGTTTCCCATTCAATAGTTTAGTTATAATTTTAAAAGGAGTACTGGTGGCACAGTGGTTAAAGTGCTGGGTTGCTAACCTAAAAAGTCAGCAGTTCAAACTCACCAGCCATTTTGCAGGAGAAAGATGTGGTAGTCAGCTCCCAAAAAGATTACAGCCTTGGAAACCCTATGGGGCAGTTCTACTCTGTCCTACAGGGTCTCTGTGAGTCGGAATCAACTCAATGGCAGTGGGTTGAGCTGGATTATTATAATTTTAATATAAACTATGTTGTTGTTAGATGCCATCAAGTCAAAATCTATTCTAAGGACAATCTAAAAATGAAGGAAGTTTTACACACACAAAAATACACTAGCATTATCTATAATAACCATAAGCCAAAAGCAATATACCAACAAAGGAACGGTTACGTAAACCATAGACCATCAATTTGTGAAATATTATGCAATCACTTAGATGATGTTAACTAAGACTGTAAAAATATTAAAAAAGACAGACTATAAGATATGTACACAGTGTGGTGACACAATTATATACTTAGGGGATATTTACTAGGAAACCCGGGTGGCACAGTGGTTAAGAGCTATGGCTGCTAAACAAAAGGTCAGCAGACCAAAACTATCAGGCGCTCCTTGGAAACCTTATGGGGAAGTTCTACTCTGTCCTATAGGGTCACTATGAGTTGGAATCAACTTGACGGCAACAGGTTTGGTTTTTGGTTTAATATTTACTAAGCACATTTGAAAAAATGAATGAAAATTTATGCAATATAGGCAATGCTAATTACTTTAAATATATTAGCATCATGGGTATTTTAGCAGAGAGAAAGGAGCATAAACTGAGGGAATATGCTATAATATAAACAAAAGTTTATAATTATATATAAAGCCGTTAAATTCTTATTTTATATCTTACAATTTAAAGAAAAGGATTTGTGATAGTGTATCAATATAAATACTATACAATAAGAGTCAAAGAAATAATGATTAAATTGGGCAGAAAGGAAAGTCAGGATAAAGGGAAAAATAGCAGCCATGTAGATTTCAAGTCTTTGAGTTCCTGCAAAGCCAACACAGACAGGACAACACAGTGAGTCATGAGATTTAGTGTTCAAAACATAAAAAGCAATAAACGGTGGATTAATAGTAGTTCTATGGGAAGAACCTGGAGTTCTAATGCTTAAATCTTAGTCAACAGTATGAACGTTAAAAAGGCAAACGCATACAACTATTTGTCTCTATGCATCTGGTGCAAAAAAGAAAGAAGGAAATCAAAGACTCAAAGAAGAAACTAGTCTACAGGACAAACAGTGTACACAAACCGCGGCCTCATCTCCCCTGAGACCAGAAGAACTAGATGGTGCCCGGCCACCATTAGCGACTGTTCTAATCAGGGCTACAATACATGGACCCTGACAGAACGGGAGAAAAAACGCAGAACAGAACCTCAAATTCCAAAAAAAACAAGAACAACACAAAACAACCAAACAACCAGACTTACTGGACTGGTTGAGACTGGAGGACTCCCAGAGGCCACTGCCCTGAGACACTCTTCAAACCTTGAACTGAAACTAACCCCTGAGGTCTCCCTGTAGCTAAATAACAAACTGGCTCAAAAAACATCACCCATAAGTACTGTGCTCCTTTAAAAAATCACCTATACGAGGCCTAACGGTCAACAGAATTTCACAATACAGAAAGGTCACTGCAGGCTTAAATAGCCAGAAGTTTCATAGAGAACAGGAACTTGAAGAATGGAAAGAATCCAAACAGGCATGTGAGGAGATGAAGACACAGGGGAAAAAGGCCCAGGGCATTTCTGGGACATGAACAGACTGATCTGGCTGGAGGAGGATGTTCAAGCAGGGGATTAGTGTCAGATAATTCAGGAGAAGTACACTGAGTTAGAATGTGAAAATCCTCAGAAAGCAGGCTGGGGAGTTTGAACTTGAAAGGAATTCAGTTGAAGTTTCTGAGAGAGGGATAGCTTGATGGTTCTGCTGTTGTAGAAGACTAGCCTGAGAGTGGTGGATAGAAGGGACTGAGGGGAGAGAAGACAGATTAGAGTTAAGGAACCCCATCAGGAGACAGTGGAGTAACAGCCTCGCAACAATGGGAAGGGTAGAATGTGAGAGAGACAATGAAGAAAGAATACTGGTCTGCAACTGAATGAGTGTGTAGAAGAAAGAAAGAAAACTCCAACATGGTTCTGAGAGTTAACACAGAAATGACAGAAAATGATATTCTAGTACAGATGAAGAAGATCAACGGTCACAACACAGATGTTCGGGGCCTCAAGGCCAATAATAAGTAGTAAAATTAAGTTTTTCAGAAAAACTGGTAAGAAATATTTTAAATACTGTCATTTTGAAACGCTGTGTCTCAATCTCCAACCAAGAACTCTTAAGTGATTAAAAAAAAAAAAAAAAAACTCACTGCCGTCGAGTCAATTCCAACTCATAGCGACCCTACAGGACAGAGCAGAACTGCCCCAGAGGGTTTCCAAGGAGTGGCTGGTGGATTCAAACTGCCAACCTTTTGGTCTGCAGTCAAACACTTAAACACTGAGCCACCAGGGCTCCGTAAGTGACATACACCACATAACACATGGAAAACCGTGCAAACAATGTTCTTTACGTAGGGACCAGGTTGGGTCCAGTGCAACATAAAGGGTATGTACAATGCTTAAAGGAGGGTAAACAGAAGGCAAAACTATTTTTACACCTTCCTCTGATACGTCAGCCGGCATCCTGTCCTTCTGAACAAGGTGGCTGTACACTCTTCACTTGGTTTCAGTTCTTCTCTGAGGTCCTAAGGCAACCTAGTCTTACAGTAATCTCCAGAAAACAACTTACATATCAAGTTAACAATGCTGTCACCAACGCAGGCATATTGCAGCATGCCCTAAAGTTGAAGGGGGTGCATTTGTAGAACAAAGGAAATTATAAAGATTACCCACTACCTATTGCTGTCAATTCCGACTCACGGCGACCCTACAGGACAGAGTACAACTGCCTCATAGGTTTTCCAACTGCCATCTGGTGGATTAGAACTGCCAACCTTTTTTTTGGTTAGCAGCCACAGCTCTTAACCAGGACTTCATTATACAGACAGACTCATCTTTTTCATTCAATTTTGGGACAAAATTAATGGGAGTAATCTGATAAACCCTAAACAGAGTGAGGGGCTTTGGGGGAAGCAAAATATTAGGATTATATCATACGGAGAGAAAAGCACAGAAGCTACTTACTATACAGAGTGACTGGGGGAAATACCACATATAATTATAAAAGTTATATTATAAATTATAAAATATATTTTATAACAGTTCAATGTTTATTACACAAAACTGCAAAATATTTTTAAAAAAATAAAAAGGAGGGAAAATTGCCCTATTTTTCATCATTTCAATTACTCTAACATTTTGGTATATTTCCTCTGTGTTTTTCTACCTTTATAAATTCACAGTTCCCCTCATACTATACATCATTTTATAATCTGTGCTTTTCACTTACTGTAACAGTAGTATTTTCCATGTACAGCAAACCTTTCATAAAATAAAATGACTACATAATAAACCATACGGATGTATCAGGAAGGATTTCTTACAATACGGAAGTATTACAACTTTGTATTGTACTTTATATTTTTCAAAACATGTTCACTTCTATCTTCACTATAACTGTATGGGGCAAACAGATATGGCTTATTATTTGCCCCATTTTATACAGCAGTAAATAGATTGAAACAAAATGTTTTAATAACTTGGCTCCAGGTAAAACAATAACGGTAAGGGCTCATCAAAGATTCAAGTCTTCTACTAGCGACCAGTTGGCCTTTGCAAAGAATGCAAAGCACGTGAAGCACGACCCCATCCCCACCAAGAAGACAAAGGAGTGGTGTAGCCTAAGCGTGTTGTTGCTGTTAGCTGCTGTCGACTCCACCCCAGACTCACGGTGACTGCTCTGGTCCACAGTCTTTTTGTGTTTTTTTTTTTTTTTTAATCCACAGGTTTTCATTAGCCGATTTTCAGAATTAGATCACCAGGCCTTTATTCCTAGTGTGAAACTCTGCTGAAACCTGTTCAACATCCCATCATCACAGGCCTCCACTGACAGCCAAGTGGTGGCCGTGCTTGAGGCGCGCTGCCTGAGAATCTAACACATGGGGGAGTTTCTACCACGGAGCCAGCGCCGCCCTCTGCCGCGAGCGCCGCCCGCTGCGGTGAGCATACCGCACTGAGGACGGCTTATCTTGCTTTTATTCTGAGATGGACCACTTTTCTCAGAAGGCCTAAATACCAAGTGACAAGGGGCACTCAGCATCTGGGGAGTAACGCTCCGTTACAATACCTTCAGATTGTGTATGATATCTATCCTCTTGTTCTGGCTGTCCTTAAAGTGAACTTGGACTCTGACAGGAAACTCACCCCAGCCTCTCCTGGTCAGATGAAAAGGAGGTTCTCTAGGGAAAAGCAGACATTAGCACATTCATCCACATCCACTTCCTCATAATGGATACACTAGAAACTCACTTTCTTCTGCGACTCATTTAGGCTTCCACATTTGAAGCTAACCCAATATGCTAAATGTTGCTAAAAAGTTTACTGTAAAAGATAATCGATTATAAAGGAAAAAACAAGCTCAAACCTATGTTAAACTTTCAATCACTGAATCCTCAGAGAAGACTTACACCACATCATCTAATGTCACTGTTTCCCCAGATGAGGGGACCTAAACCCTTAGAAATGGGAAGATGGATGTCACACCACTACAGCCAGAAGCCCTGACAGAAACTTGACAGACCCAGGCTCTGACTTATATGTTCTCTACCCCATGCTTTAATGTTTGTTCCTCCACTCTGGAAAAAAACAAAATCAATCATGAAAATGCCAGTCTGAAAGTGACAAGTTACTTGAAACTGCCTGCTAAGAGGATTTAAAAAAAAAATGTTATGGATTTAACTGTGTCCCCAAAAAATGTGTGTCAACTTGGCGAGGCTATGATTCCCAGTATTGTGTGATTGTCCACCATTTTGTCATCTGATGTGATTTCCCTATGTGTTGTAAATACTATTTCTATGATGTTAATGAGGCAGGCCTAGAGATAGTTATATTAATGACGCAGGACTCAATCTACAAAATTAGGTTGTATCTTGAGTCAATCTCTTTTTAGATATAAAAGAGAGAAGCCAGCAGAGAGACAGGGGAACCTCATATCACTAAGACAGAAAAACCAGGAGTTGGAGTATGTCCTTTGGACCCAGGGTCCCTGTACTGAGAAGCTCCTAGATTAGGTGAAGGTTGATGACAAGGACCTTCTCCCAGAGCCGACAGAGAAAGAAAACCTTCCCCTGGAGCTGGCACCCTGAATCTGGACTTCCAGCCTCCTAAGCTGTGAGAGAATAAACCTCTGTTTGTTAAAGCCATCCACTTGTGGTATTTCTGTTATAGTAGCAGTAGATGACTAAGACAGAACCTATGTTTACAATACGATTTTCCCCAGACGGTGACTCTAATTTTAGTGGGTGGAGGGGAATGTGTGTGAACGTAGACTGGACCACAGAATTTTCAGTCAAATGTAATTTGTGAGGAGAAGGGAGAAATAGATAAAATTGGCAAACTACTAATAATTGTTAAAGCTGGGTGGTGGGTACACGTGGGTTCATTATACTCTACTTTTGTGTATGCTTGAACACTTCCATAAAAAATTTAAAAACATAATTGTTAGACCTTTAAGTACTCAAAAACAATATGGTATAATGGGGAAGAGCAAGAACGCCTTTAAAATGAAAACGTTTATTATGAATCACTGGCTTGGAATTCCTGTAATGAGAGAGGACTCCAAGCCCGCAGGGAGAAAAAACTTTCAGCTGGATGTGCTTTTGGAAAACGAAGGAGACACATGAACTCCACAAGGGCAGGGCCCGAGAACACGGTCTGAGAGGAGGAGTCTAACAACAGAGCTCAATTATCAAGCACAGAGCCAGGAGCCACCAGGAGAGTCCAAAACAGGAAAAACCCGAGTGCGACAGTGGCCTCGAAAGGAGAGAAAGCAGCACCTAAGACATAAAACAGCGGAGAAAACTAGCTCGCCCTTCAGCCCACCTCAGCTGAGTAACAGCGGAGCTGTAAGAGAAGTAACCGTGAAGCTGGCAGAGACGCAGACAGAAATACATGATAGGCTTGGCCACGTGAGATGTGACCTCACACCTACCTCAGCTGAGTAACAGCGGAGCTGTAAAAGAAGTAGCCATGAAGCTGGCAGAGACGCAGACAGAAATACATGATAGGCTTGGCCACGTGAGATGTGACTTCACACCTACCTCAGCTGAGTAACAGCGGAGCTGTAAAAGAAGTAGCCATGAGGCTGGCAGAGACACAGACAGAAACTGATAGGCTTGGCCACGTGAGATGTGACTTCACACTCACTCAGATGGCTATTATCAAATACAAGATAGGCTTGGCCACGTGAGATGTGACCTCACGCCCACTCAGACGGCTATTATCAGGAAAATGGAAACGAACAAGAGTTGGTGTGGATGCGGAGAAACTGAAACCTTCATTCATCGTTGGTGGAAGCGCAAAATGGTGCAGCCACTTTGGGAAAGTTTGGGGGTTCCTCAAAGAGTTAAACACAGAATTACTGCACGACCCAGCAATTCCACTCTCAGGCACATGCCCTTCAAAGAGGACTCAAACAGATGTGTGCACCAGTGTTCGTAGCAGTATTATTCACAACAGCCAAAAGGTGGAAACAACCCAAGTGTCCATCAACAGATGAATGGATACACAAAATGTGGTACACATGTACAATGGAATACTATTCAGTCATAAAGAGAAGTAAAATTCTGATACATGCAATGGCATGGATGAACCTTGAAAACATTATGTTGAGTGAAATAAGTCAGACACAAAACAACAAATATGGTATGATCCCACCTCTATGAAGAATCTAGAACAAGCAAATGCATAGAGACAGAAAGGAGAGTAGTGGTTATCCAGTGCTGGAGGAAGGACAGGCTGGGAGTTATTGCTGAAGGAATACTGAGGTTCTGTTTGGGGTGTTCTAAAACTTTTGGAAATGGATAGCAATCATGGCACCACAACTTGGTAAAAATAATTGTCACTGAATTGTACACTTAAAAATGATTAAAATGGCAAACTTGTTGTTATACATATTTTAGTACAATGAAATTAAAACACCTTACAGAGATCTATGGTAGCAGGGGAAGCAGAAAGTGAGCCTGCTCCCTAATTCTACGCCACATTTTGTCATGTGGGCCTAGAAACTGTACTGCCACCAAAAGATTCACAGATTTCATGTAAATACTTTTTTAAAAAAAGGGCTTGGGGTCAAATGGGAAGGCAGATTTGAGATTACAGTTTGAAAAGGGATTCAAGGCCAGATATACAAGGGGCCCTAGAGGTATGCTGGACTGAAGAATAAAGAAAGTCTTACTGATGGCAAGTTTGGTCACCTAAACTCATTTTGCAATATGCCTCAATTACACTGTTTATATGCTAAAATTCTCACAATGGATATAGTAAAATTAGGTGTGTTCCTCAATTTACACACATGAGCCAAACTTCAGTGAACAGACAGAAGGACTGCGGCCACAAAGACAGACAAGTGGCACGAAGGCTGGAAAAAGGAACGAAAGCTTTCAACAGGAAACTCCTCCACAACTGTGTCTCTGAAAGCAAAAAGGGAATCCAAGACTTTTCAACAGACAAGCCCTAACTGATAGAAATTTTACACTTCAAAAGATCTATTTCACACAAAAAAGGACTGCCTTTCCTGAACAGAATGCTATTATTTCTAGATTCCTCACAGAAGGTAAAATATACCAATGACCAAAAGGGAAAAACCACAAAAATATAGGGCTTCAAAAAAAAAAAAGCTTTCCTAGAAATATAAACTGTATACTTATATGACGTTTATATTTAAATAACTCCTCATCCAACGAATTCATTTAAAGGGCCACTCAGGCTTTCAGGACCACACCTCATGACCCAGAGCTCGCTCCTGAAGGAGCTCTCCATTACATTCCTGACTAGCAATCACAGACACGTTTCTCTACCTCCTACATGTTCGTTCTAGATACGTCTGGAATCCCTAAGAATAAATTCCTCCTCCACATGACAGACCTTCAAAAGAGCAAAAGCATTTCTTTTCAGGATGAGTATCTTCTGTTCCTTTAACTGTTACCCAAATTACAGCAGGAGCAGCAGGAGCTGCAGTAAACACTGTGTCTACTATGATCCAACCACTGTTTGACACCCTTCATGTCTATTAACTGATCTCATCTTTATAACCAAAAAACCAAAAACCAAAAACCAAACTTACTGCCGTAGAGTAGATTCCGATTCATACCGACCCTATAGGACAGAGTAGAACTGCCCCATAGGGCTTCCAAGGAGCGGCTGGTGGATTCCAACTGCCGACGTTTTGGTTTGCAGCTGAGTTCTTAATCACTGGGCCACCGGGGCCCCAATCTTTACAACCACACTATGAAATATCCCCTCTGAGACATAATCAGGTTAAATAACTTGCCCAAGGTCACAGAGCAAGTCAGTAGTGGAACGGGGATTCACACCCAGGTAATAGGCTCCAGAGCCCGGCTTTACCCAGTACGCTATTCCACGTGTCTGGTGTCCGGTCTCCTCACTACCCAGGCCGCCCCCCACCCCATATCCAACAGTATGCCTAGACATTGTAGACTGGTGCAGGGTAGAGCAGGCCTACTTCACTTCCGATAAAGCAGCCTAAGACTGCGATACTGTGCTAATGATTCGTTCCAGTAAGATCGTCATCAGACTCAAATTCAGTTTGCAGTTAACCATACACTTTTTTTCACTTGAACTACCCATCAGTCACCGTGTACTCATGTACCTGGGTTTCTGAACCCAACTATAACTGACCGAACGGGTGTCCCTATTAAGGAAATCTTTGGTTTTTGGGGTCTTGAGTTGACTACTCCAGACATTCAGTTTTCCTCTGACCTTCTTGTTATCTGCACATCTGATGAGCCTATTTTTTTACAAGCCATTCATAAAAATGAGCAAAACATGGCTAAGTACAGAGCTCTTCCTTCAGCAAGTAAACATCACTCCATTAACCCCCCACAAAAAAACCAAACCCGCAGCTGTCAAGTTGATTCCGACTCACAGCAACCCCTTTGTTAATACCAGTCCACATCTATCAATGCCACTTGTCAACCAAACCCAGTGAACCCACTGCTGTCAAGTCAATTCCGACTCATAGGGACCCCATAGGGTTTCCAAGGCTGTACTCTACTAAAGCACATCTTTCTCCCCCGGAGCCGCTGGTGGTTCCGAACTGCTGACCTTTCGGTTAGCAGTCAATTACTCTGACTGCTGCGCCACCAGGGCTCCTTGTCAACCAAAACACGCTAAAAATCTTCCTATAAGATATATATGCCCAGCGTTTCCCTAGTCCATC